TATTAAAACATAATTATGAAAATCTTTGTTTACCAAATATTGTTGTTTGCTGGTGAACTTAGACCTAAAGAATTCGAATGAATCCTAAACTACAAACTTTACCGAAGGTTGGGAAAATGTTATGATTAATAGCCATGGTTCCTCTGAATATTTTTCTCTGTTTTCGTCACCGTTTTTAGTGCCAATGGCAGCTTTTGACATTCATATTCCACATTTGAATATCATATTTTTTAATCCTGTTCAATGAAAGGTTACGACGGATTTTCCCCAACAACATTGAGTAACATTTACAATATCATATAAATATAATTTTTAAATGTTTACAAAGCAACAATCCAAGAAATTAATATCAAGGAGAACTTTACAAATTCATTCCCCTGATAAAAGAAGAAAAGAAAAAAGTTGCTACTTGGAGAATCGGCTTCACGAAAAACTCGAGCCAATTCGATTTTAGATTGTCTCGATAAAATTTAGTAATCCTGCATTTTAAAATTGGATATTAAAGAGTCTAATGTTTCAATTACTTACATAAATTGTTGGTGATTTATTATATAATCACTTTTAGTCAAACATAAATACTTTTGATTTGAAAAAAAGTTGTAATGTGATTACAGTGAAAATGAGTAATGTGTCTCACGAAATATGTAAATAATAAATGAATATTAATAGATACATATATTATAATGAAATTCAAACAAGCGTTTGTTTGATTCATAATTACTATTAACTTATTATTCATTAATTCTATTAAAACTACAATTTATAATTGCTAAAATTATTACTTCAACACCAACCAAACATTCACTAAATCAACTACTGAACTAATTTATGTTAATTATTAATAGATATTCGCGAGATTTCAATTTGTATTTGACTAGTTCAGTTCTTAATTTTTTTATTGAAAAAAGACCCTTATCGAACAATGTACACTTCCAATTATTATAGCAAAATTTATGTGGTGACAATTTTACATTCAATATCAAGTGAATTTTCATTTGTTCGTGTAATTTTACTTAGCGACACATAATTAGCATTCAAGTTTTGAGCTCAATTGTTATAACATTACATAATTTTCTCACTATTATAATTTTTTGATCTCGTTATTATAGTTTTCACTTAACCGTTAAAGTGTATATAAAATTAAATAATACAAATATGTAAATTTTGTATGTACATTCCTCTAAATAAATAGTTATATGTTTATTAAGGGGCCGTTTGAGAGTGATTTTTCACTTAAAAAAATTGATTTTTTTATTGTTATTTCACTATTTTAGCCGTAAAGTTTGACTTCTTCTTTCACAGGTGACTCCCACTTTTTTCTTAACGGTCAAAAAATCAATTATCAAACGGGGCCTAAAGCTGGATGCATGTCTTAGCAAAGAATTTTAAAAGTTTTATTAAATTGCAACCACCTCAGTTCGACTATTTAACCATTAAATAGGACCCACAAAGCGTGTGTAATTTCTAATGATTTTCCACGTGTCAATAAATCACCTTCTTTAGCTCAATTGTTCCCACATATCTATTTTTTTTTTAACAAGTAATTTCTAGTTTTGTTAGCCGGTCTAAACTTTGAAACATTTAGGATAAGAAAAAGATAATTAAGGATAATAGAAATAACCAATGGTTGGAAGCACCGTCTCATTCTTTTTATTTAGCAAAATTGTAATAAGAAAAGTGGATAAAACAAGAATAGATGTGTCAAAGGATGATGTATGGACTCAAATTTCGCACTTAAAAGATTGAATCGAAATTAATCAATTGAGTTCAGTATGCTAAGCACAATGCTCTTCTGCCATTCGGAGGTCCCGAATCTAAACGCCTATTAGTTACACAACTCCGTCCAAAATTCATCTCCGAGGGCAAAGCGTTGAATTCTTGTTCATTTGTTTTTTGTTTTCTGATAGAGTACGTAGAACCATTTTGGTATTATTAGTAGATATCGATTGGAGTTTGATAATGTCTAACTTTTATTGGAACTGGATGAACCACATCATGTCCGCTCTTAGTTTCCATGGCAATTTTTCGTAATGACACCTTTTCACCATTTAGTTGTACTCAATGGCACTTAATTGCCACTTGAGTTTATCTAGTACCAATGTGTCATAATTCATTGTATTTATAACTGAACATGTAATTTAATGTCACTTAGGGCAGGATATGATCCGATTGGACCCAAAAATTTCGGGTATTTAGTAAGTGAAATCGTCGGTCCAAATTTAATTATGGAACCGTTAGAGCTCGGTTCCATTCAGTTCAATTCGATTCCCAAGTTCTCTACTATAATTAAATTTTATTATATTTACAAAGTTACATTAATTCAACTAATGACACGTTCAATTTTAATTCTTACAAAATAACGTAGTCCAATCTTCTATATCTTTTACGTATCTCTTTGATAAGTGCTTTATAAATTTGATTGTCAAAATCACGTGAAAATGAAGATACCGAACTCACAATAATAAAGATAGGTGTCGTGAGGCTTTAATTTGATTTCTCTAGAATGGTAGAAACGGTACTACGATAGAATGACAGATTTGAGTAAAACTTATATCAATTTGATTAAATTGGACTTGAACTGAAATTAAAAATAGAAAAATCATATTTCTTATTTTGATTTAAATTAATTAGTTAGTAGATTTATTTAGAAAAAATAAAATAATTTGACTTATTTAAAATAAATAAATTAAAAATTTAAGGAGATTCGATTTTTATACGTTTCTTCATTTCATGATCTAGAACTGAAAATCGAACCAAACTCGTTAGTTCTTAATTTAGATACTCATTCGGGTATTTAATTTAAGAAGAACCATTCGATTCGATTCAATTTGAGTCGGATCTGATTTAATCGACTTGGTTCGAGAATTTTGTCCAACCCTAATGTCACTAGTGCTTTCACCTACACGGATGTGAAATAAATTGACAATTATATAAATTTGATACTTCATTCAAAACGGTGCTTTCAGCAGTACTATTATAAATAATAAATGTTTATTGAAGTTAGGTACATGTTTCGTTCCTAATAAAAGGTTGACTAAATTGCAACCGTAGCCGACTATATTGTGTCTTAGACTAGTTAAGATTGAACCTCAATCTTGAAGGTCCTCACCATTCTGTCATTGGAGTATCGTGAGGGAGGTAAATAATGGGATATGCCTCAGCAGGCCAGGGGATAAGAGCTTTCCTGTACACTGATATCCACAAAGAGTTCAATTTCATATCTCATGAATCGAACTCTCAAATTGCGACTGTCAGCAAGATTGAGACTAACTTATTCCTGTCCTTTGCACCACTGAGATATGTCCCAGGCGTGTCTTAGACTAGTTAATCATTGAACGGACCCACTAAACGTGTGCTGCTGCGTTTGTTCAATATTTCTAGTTTTGTTGGTCTAAAAGTCTAAAAAAGTTTAGGATAAGAAAAAGATAATTAATTTAGGATAATATTAACAATTAATGGTTGGAAGGAAGCAACGACTCATCAAACTTGACTCACTGCTCACTATTTGACTTTACTACTAATCCTTACCTCATTTTGGCGACCCGACGCTATTTTGCAAATGGCCCAAAAAAATTGGATCAAATTTTATACAAGAAATTGCATTTACTTTGTAGTAACCCAAATAACAATTCCGCTACAGTACTCAAATTTTTTTGACGGAGGAGGTGACCGACTCTCACAATGGCGGGGCCCCACTTTTTTTTTTTTGGACTTTTTTACTTATGCCGAATCCACGGCATTATAGAGGATGTTAACCATTCGGACAAAAAAATCCGGACAAATAGCAAAATTCTAATTTTTAATATATGCAGTGTCTATTTGTTGGAGATGAAGTTACATACAACTTCAATGCATTTATGTTCAGTTTCTGTACATCAATTGTATTAGACTTCTTGTATCCAAGTATATGTGTAGTCTATAGAATGACTGTTTTTAATATAAAATTGTACGACATTAGGATTGTTAATGTGTGACATTATAAAATACTATTAAATATATCGAGCAAACTCAAGCTGCTCAATTATTTTTAATTTCATTTTTTAATCCTTATACTACAGTTGTCTTGTAAAATGGATGTTTTCAATCTTCATTTACCGTAGAAGAATGAAAAATAAGTAATGAAAATATGGAAAATAAAAGAATGTAAGAGGGATAAAGCAAGAGAAGCAACATGTACATATATATATATATATATATATATATATATATATACAAACACACGCTTGTTACTTCGTATTAGAGTTGTGTAATGCAAAATGTTTAATGTTAAAAATAGTTACGTTGAATTGTACTAAATGATGATGTTCAGAATCCCTCCACTCATCAATGCATGCCAATTACTATTAACCGTAGTTGTGATCAGTAATTGAACCTGTTGCTTTAGCTCTTGCTTGTCGAAGATTTTTGAAATTATACATGTTGTTTCCAATAAAATGTGTGGTTAAAAAAAAAAATGAACCACTCAAAATTGAAAAATGTTTTACCAAACACGAGTTTATTATAATTGGCAAAATAATTCTCTTTGTTTTCCATGCAAGAAATATTAAGAAAAATACAACCGCACTATATATACAAGATCGGACTTCACAGGGTCGGTACAAACAAAGACACGACAGGTGGGATGTGTGATTCATTTTTTAAAAAATAATAAATAAATAAAAATCACATGGGGTTATCAGGGTTTGTAAAGACCCTGTGAGATAATTCCTTGTATACAAGGAATTATTCAGGAAAACAACAATTATTAAAACATAATTATGATGAGGAAAATCTTTGTTTACCAAATATTGTTTGTTTGCTGGTGAACTTAGATCTGAAGAATTCCAATGAATCCTAAACTACAAACTTTACCCAAGGTTGCGAAAATGTTATGATTACTAGCCATGGTTGCTCTGAATATTTTTCTCTGTTTTCATCACCGTTTTTAGTGCCAATGGCAACTTTTGATATTATCGAATTATTCATATTCCATATTTGAATATCATATTTTTAAATCCTGCTCAATGAAAGGTTACAATGAATTTTCCCTAACAACATTGAGTAACATTTACAATATCATATAAATATATTTTTTAAATGTTTACAAAGCAACAATCCAATCAATATCAAGGAGAACTTCATAAATTCGTTCCCCTAATAAAAAAAATAAAAGAAAAAAGATGCTACTTGGAGGACTGGCTTCATGAAAAACTCGAGCCAATTCAATTACTCAGTAGCTTTTGAGATTCAAAACCTAATTAAGCAACCAAAAGGACAAAACTAAGCAGCCGAAGGAGCGGGGATGTAATGAACAACACCAGCCTCCTCAAGCAGCGCCGGTGTCGATTTAGCACTACGACCGGGACCCCTGTTGTAATTCAATGTCTCGTCGTTATAAATGTCCCGCCACTTGTTGACTAGCATCTTGATGTCTTCTCTGTCCATGTTTTCTTCTTCTCCAGTATACCTCCATGGTTTGGAGCCTGCAGCACAGTAGTGGACCACCTTAACTTCATCAAGCTTCACATTCTCGGGATGGCGCCACATCATTGCCAAAACCAAGTTGTAATTATTGGGAATTGGCTTGTAAATATCCCTGAAGAACATGTTCAAGAAATCCTGCAAATGTGACATTTAATACACTTTAAATTTCGTTTCAAACAAATACTTGTCAAGGAATTTTCTGATTAATGGCTGTTCTGTATTACCTGCTCAGCAAATGAAGTTGGGGTTGTAATTTTGAGTTTGTGCAAGAGATCATGGTAGGTGGGGAGACTTGGTTCAAAGACAAACATCCCAGCATTGAAATAAAGAGGAGGCTTGAGACCCAATTCTTGAGGCCAATGGACCTTATCCGGGCACTGTTGGCAATACCCAATCTTGAATTGTGGGGTGTGACTCCATGTCTTCTCACAAAAACAGTCCATCACAGCATAGAAATACGCATTTGGCAAATCAAATAGGTGATCTATGTTGTCAAAAACCTGTATGTCTCCATCCAAGTATATCATCTTGCTGTACTCCACAAACTGCAATAAAAAACAAATTCACTTGAGCAAAACATCGAACACTTTATGTGCAAATATACTTACATAGTATGAAAATTTGATTGTTGAAACTATCAAAAGGTTTTTTTACCTCCCAAATACGAAGCTTGGAGTAGTTGATGACATAATAAGCCATGGCGAACTGGGTCTGGTTCTCAGGAGGATAAACCGGTTCGATTTCACGCACGATGCATCCCTGGTTTATCAATATCCGGCGGTGCTCCTCCGGGACATCAGGCAAAACAGCCACCACAAGCGGATATGCAGCGTTGACTTTCCTCAAACCCTTGGCCAGCCCCACCACTCCTTTCACATAGTCACCGTTGCCCGCCAAGAAAGTGACATATGCACGGCTAGACAAACCGGCGGCCTTCACCAGACCACCGGCGGCAGCCCTCATGGTTAGTCCACCATTAAGATTATTACGAGCCATTCCTTCAAAAAAGGGAGGAAAAACTTCACAATGAAGAGAAAAGATGGGTTCTTGAATGTATTTAGTTCGCTAAGATTGTATTGATCAGCTTGTGTGTTCTTGGAATCGATTTGTGTTGCATTATATAGAGTTGGCAATGAGGCAGGGCAATTATGGTGAATAATGCATAGGAAAAGAAACGTTACAACACGTGGACTAATATAATGAGGACACGTATTTAGTAGATTTGAAGGAGATTGGGTAATGGTCTGGCAACGACGTCGTTTCTAAGCTTTATAATTATTATGAAATGAAATAAGAGTCTACATGTGGCTAGCAGCTGCATTGGTCGGTGCAACGAAAATTAGACAGTGGGAGAAACTTTGGGCCCACCATTATTTTATCCATTTTTAATACATTTGACTGCAAATTCGGGGTATTGACATTTTTATCCTTTTGTTGGTCAACCAAATCTCTATTCTTCAATGGTTTTTGGGAGATTTTTCAGGTGAAACTTGAAAGAATTTTTTTGAAAAACGCATATTTAAAAAGTAGAAAAAGTTATCGATTTCATAGAAATTTATATGTATAGTTAAAAATAATTTTAAAATTTCTCTCCCAAATAAATGCTTAATTAATAAACTTCTAAAAATCTTCTTTTATTAAGCCAGTGTTTCATTCTCATTGTTTGGCCACAAAAATAAAAAATATGACCGTTATCATCGTATTTGACTTTTTATCTTTTGTTTGGATTCCATAACGACTATTTTTTTATTTTCATTCTTAGAAAAATGAGAATCAAATGGGGCTTTACTTATTATTTTGAAAAAAGTTGTATTTTGTTTTGTATTTTTAGTTTACTTCGGTTTTGAACTTTCTTTAATTTCATATTTGTTTCTTTCATCTTCTATTTTACAATTTTTTTCTCAATAATTGATTGCATTATTATTTGATAATATTGGATTTTTTGTTTAACGTGCAAAAAAAAAAACCATTTATTTTCTTTTGCTTCTTTCTTTCTGTCTTATTTTCTTCCTAATTAATTAAAATGTATTATCTCAATTTTTTTAACAGAAGGGTAATATTGCCATATCAAATACTGCTGCGTCACTATCTTCCAGATTTTCCGGAAATTGCCGACGTTTTCGATAAACTACTAGGAAATTGGGCGCCGATTTCGTGTAAAAATAATCCATATATATATATATATATATATATATATATATATATATATATATATATATATTTGTTACATCAATTTTTTATTATATATAAAAATTCCAACCGCATTGGTTGGTCTTGAACACTTAAAAAAAAAAAATACATATATATATATATATATATATATATATATATATATATATATATATATATAATTGATTCATCAATTGTTTACGATACATAATAATTGTGGATAGATGTAAGATAACGTACCATAGAGTTTTTCCTTACTTCGATGAATGATTATTTGATGAATATTTATTTGTGAAAAAAAAGATTGCATTTTGAAAGATCTTCGGATCCCGAGCTTGCTAAAGAATTAACTTTTGACGAAATTTTCATATTGTTCATTGTAAGCCCTCGTTTAATCTACATTATAAAGAAAAATTGATATTTGAAATAATGATTTTTTCTTTTTAATTTTGTGGTAAAAATTGGAATTTTTTTTATTTTACTCAGAAATTATTTTATTTTGTGAATGCTTGATTAAAAATGAATATAAAAAATAAAACAAAAATGAAATAAAGAGAGTCAAACAGGGGATTTAGTTAAAGGTTGAATCCCAACCTTAAGGATCCCCCACCACCCCGTCCTTGGAGTATCGTGAGAGAGGTTAATCGCGGAATGTGTCCCAACAGGCTAAGGAACAAGAGCTGTTTGTACACTGGTGCCCACAAAGAATCTCAATCCATATTTTAGGAATCGAACCCTTACATTGCAGCTACCAACAAGGTTAAGTATATTTTACTCTTGTTCTTTGCACCACTACGATATGTCCCGGAGGGCGCAAACAGGGGATTTAGTTCTTTTGGTTATTTGATAGTTTATTAGAGTAAGATGGACCAAAAAATAAAAATAATAAAATAAAAAAAATCTATATTTTGAGATACATTGCTTGTACATAAATATCGATTAAATCAAATAAATTTTTGAAAGTCAAGAACTCAAGACGAAATTACATCAATTTGCAAATTTCTTCACGATCAACGAGGGAGATGTTACGGGTTTATTGAACCTAGGTGCACGTCATCACAGACAATTTCACTCTAGGCAACTTCTCAGGAATATTTGGAGGATATTCCATATATTGGATAACGCCACAATTTCTTGAGGTTGACTGTCACCGACCAAATCCTACCTATTATTTGGACCCACAGGTCGAGCGTACAGAAAGGTTTGGGCCGTTAAATTAAATTTTGTTATTCTCTTTCCTATTTTCAATTATATAATTTTTCATAAAATAATATTCTACATAGATCCAAAAATTTTCATTCTTTTTAAATCACTCATTCTTCAAAAATTATTTCACCATTTTAATTTGAAAAAATAGGTGCCAAACAGAAGCTAAATATCACATCAAATGAGAATAATTTTCTGGACGATTTTAATCTTACTATAATTCAATTATTTCAATAATACTTCATTTTTTCGTTTTTCAATATGTAATAAATACTACAAAATTCTTATCATGTATGTATTTTGTTTTATTAATTCTAAATTAATTAACATTTAAGTTAATCTAGACTTAATGAATCTTAACTTGATGAAATTTGATCTGCATGAATTTAAAGTTATTATAAATGTATTTATTTCTATTCATGTATCTAGAAAAATTAATAGATGTTTTAAATTCATCTATTAACAATTAATTCTTATGTATCAAATATAGTATAAAAATGTTGCTCATTTGTAATATTTTATCATCACAAAAATTTTGATTCATAGGTGTTGAGTTTTGAGAGTACAGTTTCTCTTAAATTTTTTATACTAAATTTTATTTTCATTAATTCGTTTGAGACTTATCAAATTCTCCCAATAAATTGATATCATTTATTACTTTTACAACACTTATAAAGTATTTCCGAATAACGTGTAATGCACGTTCAACTCTAACTAACCAATTTAAAATTAATATACTTTTCTTTCATTATCACTTGTGCTTAAAATTATGTGATAATTTAATGTAAAATAACGTGTCCAATAGTGGATCACAAGATTTGGATAGTAAATCTCAATTCCTACAAGTGTCAGCTGCATTAATAAGTAGAGGTGGGCCTAAAATTCATACATTCTCAAAAAAATTATTATTATGGAACTTATTATTATTATTATTTGAAATAATAAGTCTCACGCAAGTTCTAAAGTTCATGCTCCAAAAATTTGAAAGGTTTGTTTACTTTTACGTCGAGGTTGACACCTCAGTGTATAAACCCCCTCACAAGAGGGGTCCACGCACCAGAGTTGATAAATAGAAAAACCCAAATTTGGAAGATAAGAATTGTTCAACTTGGGCTTAGCACGGCGTTGACTTCTCTTGAACATCACTATTAATTAATAAATAGTTCTTTTTAGTAAATTTTTATAAAATTTGATGAAATATATGATTAAAAAATTGTGAATTCCATGAACTATATTATTAAAATTAATTATTGAGTTAGACTTGAAATTTAATTTAATTTTAATTCACATCCAACATGGGCATAATATTACTCATTTTCTCAAATAATTTGCAAATATTATGACTCTTAGAATGTACAATAAGGGTTTAGATTTTGCCATATGGCAGATCCATGCTACTGTATTTGAGAATTGAGGTCTTTTGTTCAACATTATAGTTTTGTTAGTTGGTCTAAATTCATTAAGTTTAGTATCAGAAGATAACTTAGGATAATATTAATAATATTTATGGTTACGGTCTTAGATATTTGTTGAGTAATTGACTGAATAATTAATAAATGGTTCACATAACACGTAGATATACCAAATTATACCAACTACAATAAAGAAAAGTTGAAATTTCTTTACAATAACTAAAGCGCCCCTTCAATTCATTCAGAGCAATAAAATTCTACCTATCATTCTTCCTATTGTCGCTTCTCCCTTTTCTTTAGACGTGGTCTATGCAAATAACTATTTTTATAAAAAACTTTTAGATAAGAGAAGGGGCGGATACGAGGGGAGGTAGCACTGGACTATCATCCAGTGTTGTCTAAACCCATATCCTTAATTGCTAAGTAAGTAATGAAATTTTATAGAAGGGAAATTACAAGATTTCAGGCATTTAAAGATCGGAATGCAAAAATCATGTAGGAAAGTTTGTTATTCAGTACTCAGGTATTAATTTAATTATTAATATTAATATAAAATAATCCAACGCTATTTCAATTCATCCCAATTTTACTCTAAACCCTAGATTAAGATCCGTCATTCCTCTCTCACCACTCGCCATCGTCGGCGCCACTACAAGAAGACTGGTGTCGTTGCAAGAGAGCGGCACTGTCTGCAAGAGGCACGACGACGACCTGAGTGGCACCGTCTGCAAGGGGTTCCAAAGAACATTGTTGCTGTGAGAATCTCCACCCAAGGTGCGCCATGCGGAGATGTTGATGGTGTTGGTGGCGATGGACGATGTTGATGGTGTTGGTCTTGCTCTTGGTCTTGGTGGCGGCGACGACAAGTTTTGCAGGTGAGATGTTGATGGTATTGGTGGTAGTTTTTTTACATCGAAGATGTGCATCAAGCATTTTGCAGGTGAGGTGTTGTTGTTTGCGCCGCCACTTTTCCTATGCAAAGAAAATGTGTTGCGCCGCTACTTGTGGTGGTATGTGATGTGGAGTTGTTGGTACTGTGTGCAGTATCTCTGACAGTGTTGGTGCTAGAGTGGTGGTGGTAATGGAGCGGTGGTGGTGCGGTGTTGGGGTAGTGCCTAATGGTGGTGTTGGTGGTTTTTTTTGGTTGTTGGAGCGGTAGTGGTGGTGGTTGTGTTTTGGTTTTGTCAGGAGAATTGGGTTGTTATTACTGGTAATGGAACTAGTGATGTTGGTAGTGTTGGCATTGAGATGTTGGTCGGTGGTGGTAACGGGGTGAGGATGATGGAAAGTGGCGGTGGTGGTATGTAATGTGACCAGCTATTTG